TGTGTGTGTGTGTGTGTGTGTGTGTGTGTGTGTGAGTGAATGTGCTGGTGATTTAAAACAGGGCCCTGGCACCTGGCTCTATACTGAAATACACCCCCTTCCCCACAACATGAACTTTAAAATAGCATGAAAATACAGTAGCCTGGAGGTGTAGATCAGTGGTAGAGCACTTGCCTGGTATGAATGAGGCCCTGAGTTTGGTCCCCAGTGCTGCACAAACAAAAAAGACTTGAGGGGACCCTTAGAACATGACTTCTGTGATTATGGAGATAGAGAAGGCTGATCTCTTTTTGTTTATTTTTTAGGGTTTTAGGAGTCTAACTCTCAATCATTCCTTTTCAAATAACCTTGGGAGTTTTGATATCTGCCAGTCTTCCACATAAATCTCAGATTGTGGCCGGGTTGGGGTGGAGGGCATTCCTCCTGCTCACTAATTTTTTTTTAAATAAACAAATCACTTTATTGTCCTTGGAAAATAATTATGTTTTGTATACAGAGATATACCTGTAAGGATATTTGTGATTGTTGTTTAAAATAGCAAAAACTTGGAAACAGCTCAATATTTGACAGCAGTGGACTAAGCAAATAAAGTATGTGCTACTTTATTATATAGCTTAGTTTAAATGTTTTACAATCACAGGGAAGGCTTCAAAAATTCCCATACCTCTGTTAGGTGCAGGACAAGCTGAGTAAGCTGTCTGCAGGGCATGCCTAGCTGCAGGATGACCTGGCCACTCAAACGCTCTGTCTGGTTCTTTTATCACCTGTTTGCTTCAAGCCCAAATGCCCAAGCCCCCCGCTCAAGGCTGAGCACTTCACCCCCCTGCTCAAGGCTGAACACTCAACCGGACACTCAAGGCCAAGTACTTAACCCCCTTGTGTGCCAACAAGGCAGCTTGCAGACCCAGAGACCCCATTAGATTTGGGCTATAAAAACTCCCTCCTGCGGGCCTCTCTCTCTTGCTCTCTCTTGCGCTCTCTCTCTCTCTCTCTCTCTCTCTCTCTCCTTCTCTTTCCTCTCTTTTCTCCTCTGTTGCACTGCTGCAATAAAGATCTCTTAGTCGCTCCAAGTGTTGTGGTCACTTCCCTTTCAACCTCAGTATCATCTTTGGAGATTTTTATTTAGTAGATAAGTCCCAAGAATCTGTATTTTTAAAAAAGTATTCTGAGTTCACAATTTTTTTTCTATTTTTTAATTGATTGTTCAAAACATTACAGAGCTCATGATATATCATCTTTCATACATTTGACTCAATTGGGTTTTGAACTCCCCAAATACATAATGCAGACTCACTTCTGTTACATACTCACATTTTTACATAATGGCATATTAGTGACTGTTGTATTCTGCTACCTTTCC